AATGACTGTTGTTAGTAAATCTTGTTCTGACCTTAATCATTCTATCTGCAGATGAACAGCATGTCATGAAAACCTAAAGGATGTCATGAATTACTAGCTTAAACATAAAAGTATTAGTTCCATTACATTGTTTACTGCTTTAAACTGTGTTCACCTTAGATGTTTGCCTTATATTTTTGTCACAACAAACTGGCATTAGGGATTTTAATTTGTAACTTTGGATGTTTTCCTAGATACAGGATTAAAATCTTTTAACAGAGTCAAATTATTAAATAAACCACTTTTCAGTTTGATAAATGGTAGTTTAATCGTAAGCATAAACCTTCACAGAGTGCTTGCAGCACCTCTTGCTACTAATTTAAGCTTGTATTAAACAATTCCTTATACAAACAGCCGATGCTAACGAATGAATTCCTGAAAAGATGTATTTAAAACCTGTAAAATCTGTAAGTTAAAGTTTAATGCTTTTATTCTTGTTTAAAAGCACAATTTTCATTGTTATCGGCTGATTTTAAAGCCTTCTCAATGAATGCAATGATTTATTGTGACCACTAGATGGTGCAATAATTTGTTCTGACTGCTAGAAGCCAGGTTGTGTTCCCGTAGGAGTTTACAGTAAATGACGTTACCTCCGGTATTCAGTGCTTAGCTCCGTTAGCAACGGCTAGAAACCAGGTTGATTTTAACCTTTTAGAGACCTAATTTTGGAAAAATCAGGTCATCGATGGCAAGAAGTGTTTTTCTGAGACGAATGGATAAGTCGAAGTGTGTCTTCGGACACTTTTAAGTCTCGAAGCTTTTAGATTAAGACCGCTGGTGTAGTAAAGAATTACGTACAGTACACCTGTTGAGCTAAGCTGCGTTCACCTCGGCGGGTATCCAAGCAACTTCACTCATAAACAAAACAGTTTTTATAAGAAATTCCACAAGGTTCAAACTGCTTTTCAAACCAGTAAGCAAGGTTATAATACTTTTCTGGCAATTGACAGCTTCTTCTCCTGGAGCTGTCTCAAAGTAACAGCACGTGAGCGCACAGCTGCTTTACAGCCACGTGCAGCACCTCACTCCATATCGGAACCGTTATGCCGGGTCCCCTTCTCCTCAAAATTCGGCTTACAACACACACACTAGAAGTTTCAATGTGTCTAGCACTTAGCAGGTAAAACGTTTGAGCCCACAGCTCACAACAAACAGCACTTACGCCGTAAAACTGGACGAACTATAATGGGTTTTAGTCCGAACTTCAGCTCGGCTGCTCAGCGCACTCCTTTCGAAGCAGACTCGCAGTGGCCTTAAATTACCCCTCGCTTATTACGTATTCATATAAAAATGAACATAACATAACAAATAATAGGTCGGCTAGCCTATTTTGTTTGTTAACGGAACGTGACCTATATCTTATGTGACATTTTAACACTCACAATATAAGTCTAACACAGATTTAAACAGTCTGGGACACTGACCTGTTTACTGAATCTGGTTCAAATGCATGCACAATGCAGTTGGAATATGACGTCTACGTTTTCCCCAACCATAAATAAACAGATTATTACCATCTACCAAGCACTTTTAAACATTTTTCTGAACACTCTCAGCCAAGATAATCATCTTTGAGTCACTGAAATGACACAGAATCGCTGCCAACACCTGTTTACACATTCAAAATTTGCAGTAAGACCATAGTTGGTGGTTCCAGTCCTGGTTCCTGAGTTGGCGATTCCACCCCCGGTTCCTGAGTTGGTGGTCCCAGTGTCTCCTGAGTTGGCAAGTCCCGAGTTGGCAGTCCTTGAGGTTCGTGGGTCAGCTGCCAGCGCCACCTCCTTGCCTGTGTCGTCTCCCACCGCCTCCTCTTTGCCTGGATCATCGCCCATCACCTCCTCTTTGCCTGGGTCACCTCCTTGTTCCCTCAGTCACCTGTGTTCGCCATGCTGGCTCCATCAACCTCCGCTGGCTCATCGCTTGCTCCTGTCTCCTTCTGTGGCTCATCGCTTGCTCCCGCCTCCTCCTGTGGCTCCACCTCTGTTCCTGCTGGGCCTCCTGTCCCTGCAGGATCACTTGTGGGATGATTTCCTGGTCATCCCCCTGGACTTTGGTGTTTTTTGTCCTCATGTCCCCTTGTGTTGTGTCCTTGTTAACCTGAGTCTCGTCCCTCTCCTATTTTCGACGTCGGGAATCGTCATTGAGGGGAGGGTCCTGTCACGATCAGTGTGTCTTTGCTTTAGTTTTCTAGTGTTTCAGTGTTCCCCTGTGTTTATCTGCCCTGTTTCAGCCCCACCCATGCTCACCTGTTCCTCTTGTGTCTCGTGTTTCTTGTTGTCCTTAATTTGTTTGGCTTTATTTTCTGTGTTCAGTCCGCATCCAATCATTGAACTGTGCTGTCTTCCGTCTTCCTCATGAGACCTTGTAAGTTTTAGCTGCCCTGGCAGCCCTCTTTTTGTTCCTTTTTAAATTAACTTTTTTGTTAGATTTTGGATTTTGCCTGCGCCCTGGGTCATTCCGCCTGTGAACCTCACACTATAGATATTGAGCTAGACTGTGTTGTGGTAGTAGCAGTGCGTCATCCCTAACACAACCTCATACATGACATGCATTCCTTCTAGAAATAGGTCAACAAAGAAGTGATGCTTTCTAAACTCTATCCAACAATCAGCACACGAGTAGCTTAGAAAGCTGAGCATTGTCATCATAACCTGAATATTTGTGATTATTTTAGAGGAAAGTATTGAATCACAACTTTGAGTCACAGAACTTTCTTTTTTTTTTTCCTCCACAAGCTCCATCTTCTCAGTAACTATCCAATCAAGGCAGAATTGGCCCAAAAAGAATACAATGTTCCTTTTGATTTCTTTCCAAAACATGCGTAGAAATAATCAGGGCAAAGGAAGGAAGATTGCCTACTTAAAACTGTACACACTTTGTTGTGTGTCTGAATGCTTCACTTACATCAAATAAAACATACGAAGGTTCAAACTAAATTGAGTCATTTGAGAAGTTCCAATGTGAGTGCAGAGCTCTTCATCGCACTGAGACAGCTTCCTTTAACATGATGGATGACTCAACTCGTTCAGCTATACATCTTAATACAGCTGTTGACAGTGTTGATCATTCTCTCCCACTCATCTCAGGCAAGCATCAGATGTTTCCAAATCTGAAGCAGCACCTCTGATATTCCTCTGCTACGGATTAAATTTTTCACATCTTATTACCTTGTTCATCAAATGCATTAATATGCTGTGATGAAGATTAGACAGGTTCATGTTGTATCAATCGACATCAGTATCTGATCAGCTGTTAAAATTCAGATCTCATGAATAACTGACAGAAGGTTTTTAGTCCTTTTTTGGCAACTAGAGGTTAATAAGCTGAGAGAAGGCAACTAATTTTTGGTGTTGCTATTAATCTTCCTATTGCTGTACAAAAAACTCCCCAACAAAAAAAGCACAAAAACTGACAAACAACAATGTTTTTACAAACA